TTCCACAGGACTGAGATGTCCTGCCATATCTTGATTTATTAAAGTAACTAAGCTGAACAGAAATAAATTCAAGATTTATTAAAGGGCAGTATACAAAGACTCACCAGCTACTTACCAATCAGTACCTTCCCTTTGTGTTGATATAACTTATTTTTACCTTGCTCCCCATCATTCATAATCCGTCTGACTATCTGATCATTTGCTCTGGCCTAATTTACGGACAACTTTAACTTGGGGTGAGTAAAATGTGTTATATAATAGGCAGGTAATTGTGTATCATCACACAAAGTTAGGAATACCCGATTATGAACCATATTGAAGATATCTTCAGTTACTGTCATCTCTGCCAAGATCTCCATCTCTGTAATGACTTCTCCTTGTCTTTGAAACAATAAACTGATGCCATGTGAGTTTGTGAAACATTCTATAAAGAAAATGCATGGAAATAGTGCAACTTAACTGGATATGTTGATCATTGATTGTCATCAATTATCAACAGAAAAATAATGTCTGAATTGTTTTTGTTTCTGTAAGCTACTTTTCATGATTAGCTACCCCCTACTTACACTCCCCCAATCACTGTCTACAGAACATCCTGTGTCACACAGCAACCCCTAGCTCAATGGCACCCTTGATGGCTCACTAGCATTCTGCCAATTTTACTCTTGCTTTGGTTGCTATGAAGATGATGCGAAGGTGGGGAAGGGGGGTTAATGCTTTGATTTCCTTTCTGTCCTTGAGCAGCATGCTTTCAGGTTGGCATGTCCCCTGGTAACCTATCACTTCTGCCTTCAGCATGTGGGCAATAGTGACAAAGTCTCTAATGTCCATTTCAAGTTGCCCTTGAGTGCATGGTGCTGTGCCTTCTTGAATGGTCTGTCTCATGATGGTGCTCCCACAATGGGTAGAAAATTCCAGTTCATTAATTTGGCAGAGATAAAGCCACCAGGTCAAGGTGGTCATGACTTGGAGAAGAACTTAGAAGTGATGATGTGCCCACAACTTTATTTATTCTTGGGATTTTCAATACACGAGGGAGGCAGTAAACAGGAGACCATAGGCCAGTTAGCTTAATGCCTGTCAGGAGTAAGATGCTGTAATCAATAATTTAGGAGATAACTAGGCATTTGAAAAACTCAAAGACTGTGAACTGAAAATCCTGTTTAACAAATTTATTGGAGTTCCTTGAAGTAATAATATTTAAGGTAGATAAAGGGGGACCCATTGATGTATTCCACTTGGATTTCTGGGAGGCATTTGTCAATGTGTCTCGTAAAAGGTTATTGTGCAAAGTAGAAATGTGTGCTGTATTATACTTGAATGGGTGGAAGATTGGCTGGCAGACAGAAAACAGAGATGATTTATAAATGGATCCATTTCAGTTTAGCAGGATGAGATGAGTAGGATACCTGAGGGGTCTGTGCTGAGTTCACAATGTTTACAATTTGCATCAAGGATTTAGATGAAGGGAGCAAAGACATGGTGGCTAAATTGTAAATGATATAAAGATAGGTTGCGAAGTAGTTTGTGAAGATGACAGAACAAGGATGCAGAGCATATAGATATAGTGACTAGTGGTGTGCCACAGTGGTCGGTGCTCGGACCTTGTTATTTGTTATTTACATAAATAATCTGGATGTGAACATACAAGGCATGATTAGTAAGTTTGCGGATGATACAGAATTAGGAGCTATCGTCGACAGCAAAGAAGGTTATGAAAAATTACAAAGGGATCTTGATCAAGTAGGGAAAAAGGCTGAAGATTAGCAATTCAGTACAGGTAAGTGTAAGGTGTTGCATTTTAGAAAGTCAAATCAAAGTAGGACTTATACGGTAAATGCTAAGGTCCTAAGGTGTGTTGTGGAACAGAGGGACCTAGGAGTACAAGTACATAGTGCGTTGAAAGCAGCATCACAGGTAGACAGGGTGATGAAGAAGGCATTTAGCATGCTAGCCTTCATTGGTCAAGGCATTGCGTGTAGGAGTTGGGACATTATGTTACAGTTGTATAAGTCGTTGATGAGGCCGCACTTGGAGTATTGTGTACAGTTTTGGTCACCTGTTATAGGAAAGACATAGTTATACAGTAAGTGTGCAAAGAAGATTTACGAGGATGTTGCCAGGACTAGTGGGCTTGAGTTATAGGGAGAGATAGGCCAGGATACGACTTTCTTCCTTGGAAAGTAGGAGAACGAGGGTTGATCTTATTGAGGTGTATAAAATCATGAGGGGCATATAGTCTGCCCCATATAGATGAATGCATATAGTCTTTTTCCCAGGGATGGGGAATTGAAAACTAGAGGTCAGAGGTTTAAAGTGAGAGGGGAAAGATTTAAGAAGGACCTGAGGGGCAACTTCTTCATGCAGAGAGTAGTGCACATATGGATTGGGCTGCTGGAGAAAGTGGTTGAGGCAGGTACCATAGCAACATTTAAAAAACATTCGGATAGATTCATGGATGGGAAGGGTTTAGAGGGATATGGACCAAATGCTGGCAATTGGAACCAGCTGAGTGGGCACCATGGTCAGCATGGACCAGTTGTGGCTGAAGGGCCTGTTTCCATGCTGTATCACTCTATGACTCTATAGACAGGTTGATTGGGTGGGCAAAAATTGGGCAAATGGAGAATAATGTGGGAAGATGTGAAATTGGCAGGAAGAATAAAAAATGCTGGGAATTATTTAAATGGAAAATGACTTTGGAATTCTGAGGTGCAGAGGGATTGAGATGCGATTCACACTAAGTTTACCAGGTACAGCGTGTAATCAAGAAGGCTAATGGAATGCTGTCCTTTAATAAGAGAGGAATTGAACATAAAAGTTACGATGTTATGGTTCAGTTATACAGGGCACTAGTGACACCACATCTTGAACAGTGTGTGTAGTTTAGGTCTCTTTACTTAAGGATGTAAATACATTGGAAGCAGTTCAGAAAAGGTTTACTAGATTGATACAGTGAATGAGCGGGTTGTCTTATGAGGACAGATTGAGCAGGCTGGGCTTGTTTCCACTGAGTTTGGAGGAGTAAGGGTGACTTGACTGAAGTGTATAAGATCATGAATGGTCTTGACAAAGTGGATGTGGAAACGAGGTTTCCTCTCATGGGTGAGCATAGAACCAAACAGCACTGTTTTAAAATGAAGGGTCACTCTTTTAGGAAAAAGATGAGATGAATTATTTTCTCTTGCAGGGCTGTGGGACTTTGTAATTCTCTGCCTCAGAAGGTGGTGGGGAAAGGAGTCATTGAATATTTTTTAAGGCGGAGGTAGATGGATTGTTGTCAGGCAGGTCGTCAGCTATTCATGGGGATGTTAAATTCAGAAAACAAACAGGTCAGCCATGGTCTTATTGAATGGTGGGTCGGCCATCATTGTCAATCTCTATTTATCCTTGAGAAAGTGATGGTAAGCTGCCTTCTTGAACCACTGCAGCAACAACATTTACTGCTCTTGATTTCCTTAGTGGCTAGGGTCACAGATTAGGAGCCAGGCTGTCAAAATAGGATTGGCAAAATGTCAGGAAAAACTAGAAGGAAGCTGACCTTCTCATTGGAGGCAATTGTCAATGGGATAAAGATTCAGATAGAGAAATGGGACCAGAATGACTCCAACAAAAATGAAATTCAGGAGAATTGAGGTCCTGTGTCAGCAGGAATGAACCAAGAAGGGCAGAATGGCCATCATCACCTCCTTGTATTTTATCATATCATGACACAAAGGGCAGCTGCACAAGTTGCTTTAACAGCTGCATACTATTTACATTGGCTTATCAGCAAACATTTAACCACCTGCAGTGTAATCACCAGTCAAAACCAATGTTCTCCGCTTTAGTCAACTTTATTATATGATTTCAATGTATTTTAATATTTTGCCATTATACAGCTCTGGCACAATGTCAAATAATAACCCATTTAGACTGTATTTTTGCTGCTGGCTTCTAAAACGTCTATTCCCAGCCTCCTCATCGTGTTAGAATCCTGTCTTTGTGGAATCTCCCTCAGGTGTGGTGCCTCCCAAGAATTCAATCCATTCTCAGCCCAGCCCATTAAACCCAAGTATGACTCATTCCCAGCCAGAAGCAATTCTCAGGCCATCACTCAACAACAAGGTCACAGAGGCATCCGCCAAAGATTTCCAGACTGAGTGCCAAGTCTGGGATGAGGCCAGGAAGGAGTGCTGCCTATTCGCTGCTGGCAGTTCCTCTTCAGAGCTGCTGCCTTCTGGAACTGGGTCTCCCAGTGCTGGCCCTGGGAAAGTGCAGCTATAACTGAGGAAACAGCCCAGGAAGTAAACCACTGCTGTTAAATTTCCATTACCGAGCACAGAAGAGTTTTTGAATCTCACTATGAAAACCTGAGGACCCTTCAGGATACCTGGTGTGAATGCAGCTAACCCTCTGGGCCAGTTTGAAGTTAAGGCTACACTGAACCCAATTGTGTGGGTCACTCCCTCACTGACATCCTTCATTGAGTGTTAAGCAGTGTTTCCCTTGGTTAGAGGAAAATCTTGCAAGGTTCAGATTCTTGATTACCATAACCTAACAACTATTTCAACAAAAAAAACATGAGGAAAGAAATCAGACCTTGGAAACACCACTGGTAGAATTGATTCACTGAATTTTATGGAAGGTATCATAGAGTTTTGAAAGTCAAAAATAAGTTTTTGCTATATTCTATGAATTCTGGGCACTGTCTGCATTGCTTAAAGTGAAAGTTGAGCTTTGTTACTCTGTCCTCAGCTTTTGCCGATCATTCCTCAATCGTGGAAGCCAAGGCACTGGGGGATGGAGGGAGGGAATGGGGGGAGGGAGGGAAGGGGGGGGGGGAGGGAGGGGGGGGGTGGGATGGAGGGGGTGGGGCATGGATGTAGAGGATGCGGGGATGGAGACAGAACGAATGATGGGGGGATGGAAGCAGGGGATCAGGGATGGATGGAGAGGATAGGGGGTTGGACAGAGAGGGCATGATGGGGGTAGGGGGTGGATGGAGAAGATGGGGGATGGAGGGGACGGACAGAGGGAGGTGGGGGAGCGGTGGAGGGGTTGCAGGAAATGGCGGGGTGGTTGTAAGGAACGGTGGGTGAAGGTTGCTGGGAACAGTTTGAGGTGCCGCTCCAGGTCCAGCATTCATGGTTTCCTCTTGTCCATGCAGGCTGCGTCGTACACGGCGTCGCAGAACGCAATGTAGTTGACGTCGTGGCGGTTGCCAATGGTAACCCGGAAGCGGTGGAACAGCACCCGGATGTCGCGCATGCTCAGCAGGTTTTCCAGGTCCAGCCCCACGAGCACGCGGTGGAACTGAGACTGCGTGACGCTGCCGATGTTGAGGCGGTCATAGTCTTCAAACGGCGGGAAGAGCTGGAGCTGCCTCTTCTTCACCTGGCGACCACAAAGACACTTGTCGGTAACTCGGGTCCGGGCGGCGCTCGCCCAGAGTCAGAATCCGGTTGGCGAGCGTTACCCATCGGTGCCATCACGTGACACTGCTCCGCGCAGCTCAACCGGGACAAATAGCTTCCCCTCCCCCACACCCCACCGAACCTCCCCAAACCTCTCCAGTATTCTAACGAACAAAAGTACTCAAAGATGACAATCAGTTCACGGCCTAGTGGAGACTATGGTTTTCTTGCACCAGTAAGTCCCCAGAAATGACCTTATTATACTGCATAATTCTGATGGGAACAGCAAGAGGCCATTCAGTCCCTCAAGTCTGTAATGTCAGACAGTTACACCATTTACCTCCCGTTTTGGCTCCATCATCTTCAATACCAGTGTCTTAACAATGTGCGAGATATCCACCCATCTTCGTTCTGAGATTTTCAATTGATCTCAGACCCCACCCCCAACCCCTGCTCAGTATCAAGAACCTTTGTGGGGGAGAAAGTTCCAGATTTCTACTACCCTCTCTGTGAAGATGTGCTGCCTGACCTCACCCCAAGCTGAAACCCTACAGTTAGTCCTGATCAATCTAAACTCTTAACAATTTAAGAAACAGTTCCCTCTTTCTTCACCCCATCAACTCCTTGAATCGTCCCAAATGTTACAATTAGCATAAGCTCCTGAATTTCACTGTTATGGACCAGTTTCAATTCCTGCTCAGGGAATGACATTTTGTGGCCTCCTGGGGTTCAGTGATAGTGCCCCTACCTCTAAACCAGGAGACTAGATTCAAATCTCACCTGCTCCAGACTTGTGTCATAACAGGTTGATTAAAAATACCTCTAAACTGGAGGAAGTAACCTATACAGACAATCACCAAACTGTTTAGCCCCTTCTTCACTGAGGTATAATTCTGGTGAATCAGCACTGCTCCCCTTCAATGTCAATCTACCATTCCTGCACTGGGCTGCACAGAACCAAACACTGTTGCTAGTAGAGCAGAGTGTTACCTTGCTGTACCTAAACAGGAATAGAAGGTGTTGGAGATGAAGGTAACTAGAGGCATTTTATGATACGCAGCCAAATCATGAAAACACAGGAAAAAAATACATTTTCCCCTGAATTCCCATGTGAGTTAATTTACGACAGATAAAATGAGCCTGAGTAACTCGGTAAAGCCAGATGTTTTAGGAAGCTTACACTGCTGGAAGTAATTGGACGGTGTATTTTTTTACCATTGAGCAACATTCCCTCGAAACTCCGTGGGTTTTGTGCAGGATGATTGGTGTGCTGACACCATTCCCAGCATTCACTTCCGGTTTCAGAAAATTAGCAGGAATGCTGCTTCTGAACCTGTTTTCGGACTCGAATGAAGGTGAGGAACTCACACCATGTGGGACATTGTGAAAATCACAATGATTTTCACTGGCATGGTCTACTCCTGAACTGGATGCCTTCTGACTTGGAACAGTGGCATTGAGAGATAGAGGATGCTTCAAAATGGCAGGGAGGTGGCGGCATGGGGATAACCTGCTTACTCCCATTGGGATCATTCAGCAGGACCCTCTCAACAGCACAGAAATAGATCCTTCGGTCCAACCAGTCCATGCTGACCATAATCCCAAGCTAAACTGGTCCTACCTGCCTGCACTTGGCACATACCCCTTCAAACATTTCTTATTCATGTACTTATCCAAATGATTTTTAAATGTTGTAACTGTACCTGCATCCACCACTTCCCCTGGAAGTTCATTCCACACACAAACACTGTGTAAAAATATTGCCACTTGTGTCTTTTTTAAATCTTTCCCCTCTCACTTTAAAAAATGCCCCCTTGTCTTGAAATCCCCCACCCCCAGGGAAAAGATACCTGCTATTCATTTTATCTATGTCCATCATTATTTTATAAACCTCTATAAGGTTACCTCTCAACCTCCTACACTCCAGTGAAAAAAATCCCACCCTATCCAGCCTCTCCTTATAGCTCAAATCTTCCATTCCTGGCAACATCCTGGTAAATCTTTTCTGAACACTCCAGCTTAATAATATCCTTCCTATAACTGGGCGACCAGGACTGGAAACAGTACTCTATAAGAGGCCTCACCACTGTACTGTACAACCTCAACATGACTTCCCAACTCCTATACTCAAAGCTCTGAGCAATGAAGGCAAACGTGCTAAATGCTTTCTTAATCACCCTGTCTACATGTGACACAAACTTCAAAGAATTATGAACCTGAACCCCTAGCTCTCTCTGTTTTACAACACTACCAAAGGCATTACTTTTAACTGTATAAGTCCTGCCCTTTAGATTGAACAGATTGGGTGTAATCCATCATGGGCTTTCGTTCACTTTTTACCAAGGAACAAAAGGGCCGTTGAACATTGAGGCCTTCTCCCACAGAAGTCTCGAGGCTCCAAGCCTTACAACCAGACCTGCTATCTATACCTGTCCTGCACTTTATCCTACCACCTCAATACGGATCAGATAAGGAACATGCTGCGAGATTTTCAAAGTTATCATTTCATTATGTTGCAGCTCTGCACTCACTCGTTCTGTCTCTTGGAGTGTGTATAGCACAACTTACTGCCTGGTCAGAGAGCTTAGGGAACTAGTCACGGAGTTTGTGACTTAAGACACAGGGCACCTAAACTAGATAGGGATGGCCAGTTTCTCCCTAAAGGGTGTTTATGACGATCTGAAAACTTCATGTCATTTTTCTGGTGCCAACTTATTCTATGCTGGTAGCCCAGCCCCATTACCACCAGCAAACTCAGTTCTCAATACCTCTGCTACCCATATGCATTCATTATTAATCCCCTCATGATGTGTTTACCCTTTCTGCCAGTCTTGCCAGAGCTTGCTGGTAAGCAGTGATCTCCTCTGTTGTCAGAGTGTTCAAAGTCCAATCTGGTGGTGGCTTGTACTGGGTTACCTGGAGGATGGGAACATCAGTGATTTAACAGTGTAGATATTCACCTGAAACTCATGTTATTTTAGCACCTGCATTGACAGTGGCAAGGAAATATCAACAAGTGACAACAGGTCCCTAATAGGAAAATCATTCAAATAGCAAACATATAAACTGTATTATTGGCTGTTGTGGTGCATTGGTAGTGTCCCTACCTCTAGGCTAGAAGACCCCGTCCCACCTGCTCCAGAGATGTGCCAGTAATATTTTTGGGCAAGTTGATTAACTATGTCTATAAATAACATTGGTCAAATGAGTACCAAAAAAAACTGCCCTCCCTCTCTCAAACGCAATTATTGTACATAATTTATATTTCATTCAATGGTCCAAATAATGAAAAGAATTTTTATGAAAATATTGTAGAATGCTAAAAACTTGCAGCACAAGAGAGGCTATTTGTTCCATCAAGTTCGTGCTAGACCTTTGAGAAAGCTTTTCTGCTTACTCCCACATGTCCCTGCTTTTTGGCCATAACTCTGCACGTTCCTCATCTTTATATACATGTCTGACTCCTTCCTAAAATCATTTATAGATTCAGCTTCTACCATGGCATATTTCAGACCTCAACACCTCTCCACATCTGTGCCTTAAAAGATTCGCCAATGGTTTTGAATCTTTGACCTCTGCTTACTGACCCGCTCAGTGGTGGGGATGGGCCTTTTCTTTCTCTGTTTACTCCATGAAACCTTTGACCAACCAGAAAATCTGTATCAAGTTGCCCCTTAACCATCTCTGTTCCAGGCAGAACATCTGAATTTCTCAAACCTCTTTCCACAGCTGATTCCCACTTCCTTTTTGCTGATTTAATACTCTAGCCATGACCTCTGTCTCCTGATGAACAATAGAATCTTTAATATGCTCAATATTTTGCTCTGTTGACCTCTTACACTCTGACATCTCTAAAATCCCAGTCACTTTAAACTCCTCCAGCCCCACAACCCTCCGACATATTTGACCTCATCTCATACAGACCTCTAGAGCATCCCTGATTTTAATTCCTCTCTGTTAGGTAGCTGTGCCTTAAGTTACACCTCCGTCTCTCCACTTCACTTTCCTCAGAGTCGCTCCCTAAAATGCAACAACCAAATTGAATGCAGGAAGTACAGGGCAATCAGGGATGGCAATAAATGCTGGCCTAGCCAACAACGTCCACATCCTGTGAATGAATAAAACAATAGTTTTAAAAAGTTCCCTCTAAACGAGACTGATATAATGACCAGATAATTTGTTTTAGTTTATTAGCCAGGATCTGGAGAGATTAGATCTGCTCTTCTTTCAAACAGCAACATGAGATCTTTTACATTTACTCAAGAAGCCCAACAAGAGGCTCGGTTTAAATCACTTTCTGAAACTTGGCTGCATTCCCTTGATATTGCACTCACGTCCCAGGAATGGGGTTTGAACCGGGAAATGTCTGACTTTCAGCTCCAAACGGAGCCCACAGCTGACCCCCAGAATAGGATCGAGCATCGGGTCCTGCAGTACACTGATAGCGTGAAATGGGGTGATCCCTGAAAGAGGTTGTCACATTCGTCTTTGAACTGGAGTCAGTCTGAGCTTTTCAACTTAGCTGTGATTTCTCCCAAGACCTCCTTCCGAAAGGGAACATTAGATAGAATGCACACACACACACACAGAGCTACTGAGACAGCCAGGCATTGCCACACACAGGAACACATTATCACATGTAAAGACTCAAATGCATCCACAGAGATACATATACAAGACAAGTGAGAACCACAGCTGAGATAGCAAGAACTGTAGACGCTGGAGTCAAAGATAACACAGTGTGGAGCTGGAAGAACACAGCAGGCCTGGAAGCATCAGAGGAGCAGCAAAGTTGACGTTTTGGGTCCTGAAACATCAACTTTCCTGCACCTCCAATGCTGCCTGGCCTGCTGTGTTCCTCGAGAACCACAGCTGACAGTCACCTCCTTCATAGAAGGGTTAAATCTGTACTCAGCAAAATGAGCTCAGCCCTGAGGATCTCTGTATACAGTTCAACACAGAGCAATTAACTTCTGAGAAAAGAATCTAGTGGCAATATATCCTCTGAGAACTTTACACATTGAATAAAAGATGTTCTTACATTTCTACTGTAAATTGTGAATGGGGTAAATCTGTGGGTTTGAAAGTTGCTGAGTTTTACTTGAGATCTAACATTTTTCTTGAGATCTGACATCTTGTCTAGCACTTCCTGAAAGTAAGCATGTAGTTGCAGCAAGCAGTGGCCTTTGTAGTTAGGTGATTCAACTATAGGAGCGGGGATATCTTGATGCAATTATAAGGGCCTTGTGGAGACCACACCCAGAGTATTGTGTGCAGTGTTGGTCTCCTTACCAGAGGAAGAATATTTTGGCTTTGAAGGGAGTGTAACAAAGATCTACCAGGCTGATTCCTGGAATGGCAAGACCGGTATGTGAAGAGAGACTGGATGGAATAGGACTATCTTCACCGGAGTTCAGAAGAATAAAGTGGGGTGGTGGGGAGTGCATAGAATACTATAAAATACGTACAGGACTAGACAGAGTAAATGCAGGAAGGATGTTCTTGATAACTGTGAAGTCCAGTAGAAGGAGTCTAGGACAGGGGTTAGACCATTTAGGACTGAGATTAGAAGTAATTGCTTCATCCAGAGAGTGATAAACTGATGAAATTGTCCTCCACAGAAAGTGGTCAAGGCTAGATCATTGAATGTTTTCATGAGGGAGTTAGATATAGTCCTTAGGGCTAATGGAATCAAAGGATATGGGGAAGAAGTGAGAACAGGTTACTGAGTTGGATGATCAGCCATGATCATATGGAATGATGGAGCTGACTCAAAGGGCCTAATGGCCTACTCCTGCTCCAACTTCCTATGTTTCTATCCCCCGTGAGAGACAGAAACCAATATTTACTAAGGTCACTGAGCATACCTCTGCTCGTGGAAACTTCTCAAGATGATCGAGTGTGAAAATAGATTCAATTTCAGCAATGAATAGCTTATAATCAATGTAGTCTGGCATCTTACATGATTCGTACCTGCAGAAGAAAACAATATGCAGAATGTAAATTGAAAGGGCTAAGATTATACAGAAATCTCACATTAATGCTGGGACAACACTTCAACCATTTCTCTCATTTTAATTAATGTTGCAATGTTTCCAGTAGTTGGTATTGCAGGAGAATGTTGACAATAACTGATAGTGAAGAGGCTGTAAGGAGGAAGTTAGAGGGGTTTTGGTTCTGCGAGCTGGTTTAGTCAGGTGCTGCTTGCAGTGTGGTTTTCACTGAGGCTGCCATATTGCTGAGGGGCGGGGCTGGTGGGTTAATTGTTGAGGGGATTTGTGATGAGGCTGGCATTCATTGGCAGGCACAGGTCAGGGAGAGGAGGGACAGTTAAAGGTTGGCTGCTGTGAGAGACCAGGGAATGACACACCTAGAGAACAAGATCCCACCTGTGTCCATGGTGGTCTGCTAGTCAATAGCCTTCAACATGAACAAGATGTTTTAATAGCTGAGACAGTAACCCTGAATCAGAGTCTAGAGCACAGTTCAATTAGGAGTTAGAATTTTCCTCAAGTTAGCATCTTTGGAAACTCCTGAACCCATCCAGGCCTCAGGTGTACTTGCTTCCCTCTGGATGCCAGCCTAGGAGGTTGAGAGGATTGTACAGGTTTCAGGGAAGACTCTACCTCCTAAACCAGGCCAAGGCTACTCAGAAAGGTAACCTTTCAGCTTGGAATCTGAAAAGGGAGGACCTTAGCCCAACATGAACAATGATCCACATTCCATAACCCTGAGCTACAAGGTCCAGTATCAACATTGTCACACTAGAAGAAACCAAAATAGCTGATGCAAACTTTAATTACGTGTTCTAGTGGCATGGAAAGGGCACTGAAGACTATTAAGAACATTGTGTGAATCAATAAGATTGCGTGAACATGACAGGGATGTGCAGGATCATGCACAAACAAATCCTGGGTGAGACATAGCAATGAAGATTTAGTTTTGACTCAATAAGTTCAGATTTGGCTTTAAGCTCAGTTGGGTTGCTGTTGCAATGTGTAGACAGTGAATGGACGTTTCAATGAGTTTGTATTTGGTGACCTGCAATCGCTTCCAGCTTCAAGTCTCCCTTGGAAACAGTTTCCAAAGCTACTGAAAGCATGACATCTTTTTAAGTGCTGCATTTGATTGCAGCCCCGTTCAGGTCTACAGTTGTTCCAACTAGGAGAAAGTATAGAGAACCTGCAATCAGGCATTAACTCTTCAATTTACTTTAGACAAGACTGTATCAAAATAGTTGAAGAAACTTAATGTTTTGAGAATCATGACTGGAGCTATCACATTTGGGATCAAAACAACATAAAGTTGCATTTATAGAATCATCAAAGGAGTAAAACAGCACCAGACACTCCACAGCATGTTATCAAACAAAATTTGCCATGTAAGCTGATATTAGGACTAAAAGCTCGGTTCAACAGTTTGACTTTAAGGAGTGCTTTAGACGAGAAAGAGCTGAGGACATTTAGCATGGGAATTCAAAGGGGTTGTGTTTAACAATGTCAAGTTGAAGCCCTGTTATTTTAAGCTGAAAATGTACCAAAATCTGCTGTGTAAACTCACGCTTTCTCGAGTATTTCCATCTCTGAAGATTGTAGCTCAAACCCATCCAAGTCAAGGGCTCTCCTGAAGTTACTCTTTGAAATACGCCCACTATTCAGTTTGTCAAAGTCCTTCATATGGTCTCCAATCTTCACCGGCTTTCTGAATGTCTGAACCAACACAACAGGAGTAAGATATAACCTACAACAAGCAATAACTGTCTGTTTCATACCTCACGCATCTCAACTATGAACATTGAATCATGCAATTGTTTCACTAAAAACCTCTTCACATTCCACTTACCTCTGAAGTGGATTTCAGTAGAGATGGGTCAAATTGGACTTGAAGAGGTCATAAAGCAGCCAACATGATATTTGCCATCTCTTCATACTGAATTCAGTACCAACATTCCAAGCCTATTAAATTTCGAAGTTAACCACTCTGTATTCAGTATTATGGGATTTTAGCATAGGTTTTTTTTAGGTGTTGCACAGAGTGGGGCTGTGTGCTCTTGAGTTTAAAAGACTCAGAAATGACACAATTGAAACATGTAGGATCCTGAGGGGACTTGACTGGGTGAATGTCAAAAGGATGTTTCCTCTTTTGGGAGAATCTAGAACTAGGGCTAAATTTAAAAAAATAAAGAGGCATCCATTTAAGACAGAAATGAGAAAAAATCCCTCAGAATGTTTTGAGTCTTTGGAATTTCCTTCCTCAAAAGGCAGTGGATGCAGAATTTTTAAATATTTTTAAGGCAGAGGTAGGTAGATCCTTGATTACCAAGGGGATGAAGGATTATCAGGGTTTTTTAGGAATGTAGAGTTCAGGTTAAAATCAGATCAGCCATGATCTTACTAAATGTTAGAGCAGATTGAAAGGCCGAGTGAACCAGTTTCGTGCCTTGTTCATATGGGAGGAGATAAATGGTCAAGATGGGAAAAATCAGTTGGACGTGACTTTGATCTGATTACAGAGGTCATTCTTCATCTTGTCAACATTCACACTCCCTATTTATGGAATCACTAACTCCTTCCTGGGACAGATATCCTTGAGGGTCAAGGATACCTCAATGCCTTATGTGTCAGTCTGGACAAGTGTCAGTGAGCTGAGTAGTCAGTATAGCTTTTATTTTAATGCTTGATTGATCCTCAAAGCCTAACTCTAGGTAGCAAGTTGATACTCAGACCAAGAGCACAACCTGTTCCATGGGGTAGTAATCCCTATGATCTTGTGCATCACTTTATGCAGTACAAACTCCTTGCTGGTGCAAAAGTATGAGTACCAGTTGTTGGCAGGGAAAGACTTCGATGCTGTTTTCATCCCCTAAGCTACTGTTTCTGTATCTTTGCACAATTTTCTTGGAGAATAGTGTGATGCAGTGAGAGAATTCTATTTTTTCATGGGATGGGGGCGGACACTGGTTAGGCCAGTTGTCACCCGACCCTAATTGCCCTTAAAATGAGAAGGCTTCTTGAACTGCTCTAGTCCATTTGGTACATATAGCTGTTCAAGATTTCAAACCAGAGTCAAGGAGGGTTTCTAAGTCAGGGTGGCGTGATGCCTGATGGGGAATTTGCAGAAAATGGTGTTCCCAGGCATCTGTTGTCCTTGTCTTTCCAGATGGTAGAAAAATATTGTTGACGTAGTCTTTGGGAGTTGCAGCAGCTGCAAATGGTGCACACTACTGCATTTGTATAGCACCTTTAACATCGATGGTGAGATTTGGACCGGAAGTTTGTGTAGGAGCTAGATTTTAATGAACATCCTAAGTATAGTCGGAGGGTTATAAAGGTTTTACAGGAAGGAATTATAAAACTTTGGGTAGATATTTGAAGACAAAGCTACTAATGTGAGATGAATACAAGAGGAGAGTGCAACACGCCAGAATTGGAAGAGTGCACAGATCTCGAGCGTTGTGGGGTTGGAAGAGATGACAGAGATTGATTGGGGTAGTGCCGTGGGGACGGATTTGAGAACAAGAATGAGAATTTTAAAATCAAGAAGTTGCCAAATTGGAGTCAGAGTAGATCAGTAAGAACAATTGAGTGAGTCTTGTTGCAAATTGGGATACAGGAAGCAAAGTTTTGGATGATTTCCAGTCTACATACAGTGCCATGTGAGATGCTGGCCAGGAGTGATGTACCATGTATGGGGACAGTGGTGTGATACAGGTATCAGAATTCTGTATTGTGACTGAACAGCAATGGAAGTCCGAGAAGACGTGCAAAATAATGTCACCTTGGTTTTAATCTTTTCCAAGATGGAGTTAATGTCAGATAAGGCTCCCTGTTCAAGGTTTTTCTTTGACTCATTCAGCCGATGAATCTCATTCATTAGTTTGTTATACCTGTGTAAGAATAAAAGCAAAAGGGTCAGTAAGTGGAGGGTAAGGTTGCCATAGACCTGCTCGCCCCATAGCAAGAAAAAACAAATGATCGTGACTTAACCAAAGAGTCAGCATGCATCAGGCACGGGGAGAGGTTAAGAGAATCTGTTACGGCAACCTCAGCTGGTGCAAGAATTGAACCCATACTGTTGCTATCACTCTGGTGTGCAAACAACTGCCTAGCAAACTGAGCTAACCAACTTGCAGCAGAAAATGTCCAATTAGCTCATACAGCAACACAGCCTAACATCCAACCCTCTGAGTCCCCAGCTCACCAATGCATACTCTACATAACAATGCAACATCCAACACACTTGGCTCAACTCAGCAGTAGTCAGTGAGGACTGGGATGACGGGAAAGGGAAATGGGTACCATTTTGCATAGCATTTTGCAAAGGTTGGAGGAGGGGAATCAACCAGGAGTGGATCAGAGTCATCAATGACCTTCATCTTAGCCTTCAATCATCTCTCCGGTGAGATCCTCCAGACTCTAACCATGCCATGTCAGCTTTCCTGGCCCTCCTTGACTCACTGCAATGACCTCACTGCGATGTAAGGTGGACTCAGCCATGCCATCCTCCTCCGATGCCACTCCTCCATTGGATGCCCTTGCCTTATCAGAACATCATTAGCAACTGTGTCCCTTAATCCACACACCATTCTTGACTGATTCAGATATGGCTCAATTACAGTCACATTTGACTGTAACATCCACGAGATTGGCAATGGGAAATGAACCAACCTGGATTCCACCTTCTAATTACTACTCTTTCGGCAAGTGTTTGTTAAGCAAGGCCAGCAATGGGCTCAGTTATGATGCTTCACTGCCCCATCTGCACTGCTGAGTCCTACACATGGATTAAATTTTGCCATCCCTCTGGGCTCCCAGCTGGGAAGTGAGCTGGCCATTAAGGTGGTAGGGGGATGTTGTTTGAGGGGTTGGAGTGCCAATCATCTGTCCACCAGCATGGTATTTTGCCAGCAGTGGGGATACTGGTGGATAGATCTCTCAGAAAGTGGCATTTTACCAGCGGCAGGTGAGGGTTCAATCATGTATAAAAACCACCAGGCAAATGCAGGTAGCATCTCAGCGGGTTCAGTGGGCAGAACCCGTGTTCGGGCAGTCTTTAGTCCACCAAGGATCCAGAGGGCCAATGGTAAAGCCTGCCATTATCACATCACTGTGCCAAACCACCCACTTTTTTTGGCATTCCCTCCCAAACCTGCATCCCCAGACTCCACTTGCCTATCTGGAACTCTGTGACTGCCTTTTCTTCTGCGTGCAGTCCCAGCAGTGGCCACCACTCCTGGTAGTGCTGCTGAGCTCTTAGCCCTCCAATTGGCTCATAGATCATTCGGGATGTGGAGGTAGTCCCAATGCAGCCCATCCTTCCCTACTAACCACTCATGAAGAGGTGGGAGAGAGGAGTGAAAATTGCTCTCTTGCTATGAGAGAGTGCATTTACCCCATCCTATATACTCACATCTTCTCAGGCTTTTCATGGGGATCCACCTCTTCCAGGAACCTGACAAAGTCGAAGCCCAGTTCATCACAGTAAACTTTCTCCAGTAGGGCCATCTCCTCCTCAGTTGCAGGAAGATTGAGCATCGTGAGGCATCGGCGAAACTGGGCCCGAAATACATGGTTATTGTTATATCTAGAAAATTAACAATGACAAGACTTACAGGTGGAACTCACCCATCTACACTGTATGCCCGAGATGGGATCAAGCAGAATGTGAATTTACTATAGAGTTATCCTTGTGATATATTAACCAAAAGCAGTAGTTTCACTAGCTATGGGGAGATAGTGGCATAGTGGTAATGTCATTGGCTAATAATTCAGAAGGCCCAGCCTAATGGTCCAACATTATGGTTCGTATTGCATCTTGGCAGCTGGTGGAATTTAAATTCAATTAATAAGTTTTGAAAGCTTAAAGCTTGTCTCAGTGGTGACCACGAGAAATGCCATCAAGTGTTGTAAAAACCCATCGGGTTCACTAATGTCCTTTAGGAGGGGAAACTGCCACCCTTACCCAGTCTGGCCTAGACAGTGGTTCCCACCCTCCAAGTGGTTCTGAGTCATGGACTGTCTACAGCAGACACCTCAAGGCATTGGGCAGTATTGCCAATGCTGCCTGCGCACAATCCTGCAAATCTACTGGGAAGAAAGATCCACTAACTCCAGTGGTGGATCTCCTTGACCAGGCCAACATCCCCAGCACTGAGGGACTGACCACCATTGATCGGCTGTGATGGGCTGGGCACATCGTCTGCATGACTGACACGAGACTCCCCAACCAAGTGCTCTACTCCCAGCTCCGAAATGGCAGGTGAGCCCCAGGTGGACAGAGAAAGCGCCTCAGTGGTACACTCAAGGCTTCACTGGTGAAGTGCAGCATTCCCACAGACTCCTGGGAATTACTGGCCCAGGACTTTCCAAACTGAAGGAGGATGCCATCGGGAGAAAGAGGAAGGCAGGCGAAAACAGCATAAGGAGCACACTGCTACACCAACACCCCACCCACCCCTACCTGCGACCACCACCTGCCCCAAGTGTAACAGAGCCTGTGGTATTCGCATTAGTCTGGACAGCCACCTATGGACTCACCCCGGGAGTGGAAGTGAGTTATCCTCATTTGTGAGGGACCACCAATGATGAAACTCCAGAACGACTGCAAAGTGTTTGACTCTTAACTGCCCTCAGTTCCAGGTCAATGAGGGATGGGCAACAAGTGCTAGTCACATCCACATCCCAGGGAATTGAAAAGAAATGATGAATGTCAATTCTTGTTTCTATGTTAGGTTAAAAAAAACTATTCCATCTCTTAACTGCCCCACTCCATTTTTTAATACGAAATCCAGTGCAAGCTGGGAGGGTGGGCAACTTCCAATTGCATTGAGCCCAATTCTTTTGCTTAGAAACTAGTTGTCTGCAGGTGGGCAAAATGGGATTGACCATGAATATAAAAACAGTGTGGGGGTGCCAACTGCTGCTTGGCATTGGCATGAATACAACGTGTGAGGAGGCCAGATCTCAGGTAAAGTTTCCATACCATTACAGTGTCAGGCACCCCTGCCAGAACACCCCAGAACAAAAATGCCTTTCCCACAGAGGGGTGGCTTGACATTGAGACTTGCTATCAGGAGCTCATTTACAGAGGGTACCACTTGGCTTGTAAGCCTGGGGCAGATTTTGCACAGATGGTAGTCAGTTGAAGGTTCAATCATGGAAGTTCTCAGGATTTCTCAAGGTCTTTCACTGCTGTTGGAATGGGGTCACTGTTATAATACAAGAAATGTGGCAGCCAATTGTGCACAGCAAGCTCCCACAAATGGCAATGAAATAGTGGCCTGTTCATCAGAGTTTTAGCAATAACAAACACAGAATGCTGGAGAAACTCAGCAGGTCCAATAGCATCTGTGGGGAGAGAAACAGAGTTTCTGAAGAAGAACGGGGTCAGGGTGGGGATGGAGGTGGTAGCCTAGTGGTATTATCACTGGACTGTTAATCCTGAGACCCAGGTTCAAATCCTGTCATGGTAGATGGTGGAATTCAAATTCAATAAAAAATCTGGAATTAAGAGTCTAGTGATAACCATGTATCAAGTGTCATGAAAAACCCATCTGGTTTATTAATGTTCTTTAGGGAAAGAATACTATATTTACCTGGTTTGACCTACATGTGACTCCAATGTGGTTGACTCTTAACTGCCCTCTGGGCAATTAGGGAAGAGCAATAAATGTAGGCTTAACCAGTGATACTCTCATCCTATGAATGAATACATTTTTTATTGGACTCCATTCTGGCTTTCTCTGATGAGTTGATGATCAATGATAATCTCTACCTTCATTGAAGTGAATTACAATCTGTCTGAGTACTGGAAACAATGCCAAAGTGGCACAAAATGGCATCGTTTGCAGATGGTAGACTACACAATGGGATGATTCTCGGCAAAGGGACCTATCCACAGACTGGGGAAATCAAACTACCATAGACTCACATATTGGACATTAACTCTGTTTCTCTCCCCTACATGCTGCCAGACCTGCTGAGTTTCTCCAGCATTCTCTGCATTTGGTTCAGATTTTCAGTATTTTGCTTTTATTTGAGTGATTTTTTAGTGATCTTGGTTTGAGGCCAAATATTCGCATGGAGACCAGGGATAAATCCCAGCCCTTCTTTGAACTAAAGTGGGCTGCGGATTCTTTATGTCATCTGATACAGCACACTGGGGCTCAGTTTAACCTCACAAACTAGGCCTCTGACCGTGCAGCACTCCCTCAGGACAGCACTGAGGTGTCAGTAAAGATTTTGTACTCAAGTCCTTGGAGGTTGAGCCTCTGAAAGAGAGGCAAGAGTATTATCACAGAGTAAAACCTGCCTGTGCTCAGCAGGTACAGGGAAAATGGAAAAAAAATCTTGTATCAGTGTCTTCTGTGGAAGGGGAGATTAGGGCACAAAAGCTCTTAAGGGACTCTCTCTCAGAATTTGCATCCTGTTAAACATTTATACTTGTTGAGTGAATGAATTGGGAAGCATCAAAATTTTCTGGAATCAGGGTGAAAGAAGGCGAGAACCATTACAACATTTAATAGGTATTTACATGAACATGCCCCACCTACAAGGCATAGGGACCAAGAGCTGAGAGATGGAATTAGAGTGGATAAGGATGACAGGCATAGAGAGTCACAGAGCTGTTAGGAAGGGACTTCCAGATTTTGGGCCGAAAGGCCTCTTTTTATGCTGCAAATCTCCATGAGTCTATGGAAGTTTGATTTCCCCAATCTGTGGATAGGTCCCTTTGCCGAGAATCATCCCATTGTGTAGTCTACCATCTGCAAACGATGCCATTTTGTGTCAGTTGGGCATTGTTTCCAGTACTCAGACAGATTGTAATTCACTTCAACGAAGGTAGAGATTATCATTGATCATCAACTCATCAGAGAAAGCCAGCATGGATCTCTAAAAGGTAGATCTTGACTGCTAAGCTGTTTTGAGGAGGTGACTGAAATAATGGACAGTGGAATACCTCTGGATGTTATTCCTACAGATGACCTTGGATAGAATCCCTCCTATGTGACTGCCAGCTAAACTAGAAGCTCATTAAACTAAAGACAAGTCACTCATCTGGCTCAGTAACTGGCTGACCGACAACAGACAGAGAGTAGAGACAATAGTCAGGTACTCTAATTGATTAGATGAGGGGCCAGTGGTATCCGACCAGGATCTGTGTTAGAGATTTGACTACCCACCACATCTATCATCACCTTGGAGGATGGGATGGAAATCCTTACAGCCAAGGTTGCTACTGACACAAATATACCCTTCTGTGGGGAAGCTTAAAATTGCAGAGTGATATTAATAGATGAAGTGAACAGGCAAAACTGTGAAAAACATATTTCAATCTAAGCAAATATAAGGCCATCTGCTTTGGACTGAAAAAGTATAGAACAGGTTAAATGGAGAAAGATTGGAAGCAGTGGAGGTCCAAAGAGACCTAGGAGTCTGTAAATATTATATGCAGAAAGTATCAGAAATAATCAAAAATGCTAATGAAATGCTGGACCTTTTATCTTAGGGAGCAGAATACAATGAGGTAGAAGTTACTTTACAGCTGCACAAACTCTTGTTTAGCCCACAACTGGAGTACAGTGAGCAGTTCTAGCATTCAGGGACGTTGACATCTCCAGCTAAAACAGCTTTTGTTTCCATCTCTAATTACCATTGAGAGGGTGATGGTGAGCTACTTCTTTGAACCATCGCAATTTATTTGGTCTAGGTGCACTCAAGGTGCTGGTCCCAAGGGAGTGTCAGAACTCAAGTGACATGAAAAGAACAGCAATATATTTCCAAGCCAGGAGAGTGAGAGGCTTGGAGGGGAACTTGCAGGTGGTGGTATCCCATGTATCTCGACCCCTTGTCCTTCTAGATGGAAGTGGTTGTGGATTTGGAAGAAGTTGTCTAAGGATCTTTGGTGAATTTCTGCAGTGCATCTTGTAGATGGTGCACACTGCTGCTACTGCATGCTGTTGGTGGAGGGAGTGGATGCTTGTGGATGTTGTTCCAATCATTTGGACATGGACTGCTTCAGCATCTGAGGAGTTGTGAATGATATTGACCGTTATGCAGTTGTCAGTGAACATCCCCAGTTAGAATCATAGAGTCATACAGCATGGAAACAGACTCTTCGGTGCAACAAGTCCATGCCAAACATTATCCCAAACTAAACTAGTACCACCTGCCTGCTCCCGGCCCATTTCACTCCAAACCTTTCCAATTCACGACATGCCAACAAAGCTAACTCTAATACTTATCCAAATGTCTTTTCAACATTGTAATTGTACCCACATCAGGAAGTTCATTCCACACGTGACCCAATTATGAGGGACAGAAGCAACTGAAGATGGTTGGACCTAGGTTACCACCCGAGCACCTCTTGCAGCGATGCCCTGGAACTGAAATGACTGACCTCCAACAACCAGAACCATCTTCCTATGTGCCAGGTATGACTCCAACCAGCAGAGTATTCCACTGATTCCTATTTTGTTAGGAAACACTTTAATATGCAAATAACAGCAGACGTGTAGAATTCTCTTTGCAAATGGCGGTTGATTTGAGGTCAGTGGTTAATTTTAAATCACATTTTTGTTAGCCAAAGGTATTAAAGGATTTGGGGGAAAGACAGATTATGTCAGCCATGATTTCAATGATTGACAGAACAGGCCAAGTGGCTAAAAGGTCTCCTGCTGCCATGTTCCCTCAGCCTTTCTTAATTTATAGATTTACACTTGGAAGCTTTTATCAAATAAGGAAAATGAAAACCAACATACCTGTCAAAATCCCGAAAGACTGGGTATGTCTCGAGATGCCTGTGGTTGATTCGCTCTTTCAAGCGACAAACTAATGACTTGAATTGAGCCCTCTCTGGGGGATCCAAGATGTCTGCATCCACTGTGCCAACCTTGGGCAACTGGTAGGTCTCCAATGGTGGGACCTTGACATTGGGCTTCTTCTCTAGTTCAGGGATGGTAAACACTGGAAAGAGAGGTGGCATTTATTTAGACAGGGCTAAGGCAACTCTCAGTTCGGAGACAGTGTTATGAGAGGTGTAGGCCTCTGACAATCTAAAGTACAGAAATCATCTGTGACATTGCAAAGATAAGAAAACAGAGATTTTCTTGGATAGAGTAATTACCTTTACTAAGGTGTTTCCGGTTATCTCTCTCACTTCTACTCTCCAGGTTAGTGGCTAAGCAAGTGATTCCATACCTGAATCAATGTCTTTGGTGAAGTTAGTCCAGATGACATGGCCAGGCATCTTGGGATCTTCATAACATTGTACCAACGCTCTGAATTGGGCATCGTTTAGTTCAGGGCTGAACCCGATCATATTCAGGGTTCTTCTGAAGATTGGGATGGGAATCCGTCCACTGTGCAAAGTGTCAAAGTCCTCAATGAAATCCACAGTCTGAAAGGGAAATATATTTTAGCTAATCCAGCATGAAGTGTGGGTGTTGCCCTGTGGGTTTACCCTCTAACACACACAATCTAAACATCAGAGTCTAGATTTAACAGGGCTGCTCTGTGGAGTCTTTTTAAATTAATTTTTTGGATGATGGAGTTGCTGATGACCAGGCCAGCATTAATTGCCCATCTCTAATGCCCTTGAGAAGGTCGTGGGGCTACTTCTTCAACTGCTGTCATCCATTTGGTATAGGTACGCCCACAATGCCCTTAGGAAGGGAGTTTCAGGATTTTAACCCAGCGACAGTGAAGGAAAGGTGATATGTTTCCAAGTCAGGATGGTGAGTGGCTCGGAGGGGATCTTGCAGGTGGTGGTGGTCTCATGTATCTGATGCCCTTGTTGTCCTTGTAAATGGAAATGGTCATGGGTTTGGAAGGTGCTACCTAAGGAGTCTTAGTGAATATCTACAGTGTTTTTTGCAGATGGTACACACTGCTGCTGAGCGTCAATGATGGAAGGATGTTGTTTATCTGTCATGGTGTGTAGGTATCTCTGGCAAAGGCATCATTTGTTGTCCATCCCTAATTGCCCTTGAACAGAATGGCTTGCTTGGCCATTTCAGAGAGTCAACCACTTGGCTGTGGGACCTGGAGTCATATATGGACCAGACCAGGTAAGGACAGCAGATCTTCCCTAAAGGATATTAGTCAACCAGATGAGTATTTATAACAACCAAGACAGTTTACTGGTCACCATTACTGAGACTAGATTTCAATTCAGGATTTATGAATTAAATTTAAAATCATAGAGTCATTGAGTCATACAGCATGAAAACAGACCCTTCGGTCCAACCAGTCCATGCTGACCATGTTCTCAAACTAAAATAGACTACCAGCTGCTGCATGGGGTTCTGAGCCCACATCCCCAGAACAATGCCCTGGGCCTTTTAATGACTGGTCCAGTGACAATATGACTACACCACTGTTTCTGCACCCCTCGAATGCATGTTGAAGATAGTGAATGGAGTGGGCTGTTTTGCCCTGGATGGTGTTGATCTTCTTGGGTTTTACTAGAGCTGTACCCCATCAGGCAAGTTGGCAGTGTTCCATCACACTCCTGACTTGTACCTTGTAGATGGTGGACAGGCTTTGGTAAGTCAGGAGGTGAGTTACTGCTGCAGGATTCCCAGCCTCTGACGAGCTCTTGGAGCCAGGCTATTTATGTGGTGAATCCAGTTGAGTTTCTGGTCAACGGGAAAATACAGGATGTGGATGGTGGTTCACCCTCCAACTTGAAGAGAGGTAATGTGGGAATGGGGGAGGGGAAAGTCCAATAGGTGAAGTAATTTAAAACTTTAGAAGTGCAAGAAGAAGAGCCAATTCTCACCCGGACTCTGTTGACCAGAACATGGTGGCGCATCCGGGCAAGCAATTCATCCACGTTAACAGTGCTGTCATTTGTCTTTCGCTGGGGTAGGAACCCAAGCTGTTGTTCTTCCAGCTTCAAAGGTGTCTGTTCTTCTACTGGTGTTTCAGGTTCAAAGGAATCTGCTGTAAATCCGGTATATTCTGGAGATGGGGGCAAACAGAGGTATCAACTCGGGCTGACCCACCTCCACTTTGGCAACTAACGAATTGGTGTTCAAGATCCTTGTCACCCCCATTCCCTCCACAATCACTATGTTAACTGCTGAGATTAGACACAGAATTCTCTACCCAAAAAGATAGAGAGATGAACTAAAATCGTTTGAAAAACAGTGCAAAGCTTTTTTCCCCATATGTAACCATAAGAACATAATAAATAGGAGCAGTAGTAGTCCATTTGGCCCATCAAGTCAGCTCTGCTATTCAATAAGATCATGGCTCTGATGGGATTGTTGCTTAATTTCATTTTCCTGGGTACACCCCCATAGTGATTGGAACAAGGGCCAGGTGGATCGCATCGAGTTTGAGATCTGTGATTGAGGTTGTTAACCTGGGCCAATCAGGGAGCCCTGGCTGACAGATATAAACAGGAGTCTCAGTAAGTCCCCTCACTCTAGGGACTGGCTCTGAGCTGGCTGGTCAGAGCCCATGTAAATAAAGGGTGGCTTGGTGACAGGATATCTGCCTCCTTGGACATATTTCAGCCCTCAATAACCTTTAACTCCCTTGTCTATCAAAAAAAAATCATAGAAAGCCCAACATGTCCACACCACCCCTCCAAAGAGCATCCCACCCAGACCCATTCCCCCATGTCTAACCCAAACATTCCTGGGCACTATCAGCAATTTAGCATAGCCAGCCCACCTACCCTGCACATCTTTGGACTGTGGGACGAAACCCACACAGACAGTTGCCTGAGGGTGGAATTGAACCTGGGTCCCTTGTGCTGTGAGGCAGCAGTGCTAACCACTGAGCCACTGTGCCATTCAGTTCTGAATATATTTAATGACCCATGATTGATCCTTGGGGAAGAGAATTCCAAAAACTAACAACATTCAGAGAATAAAGTGCACCTGATCACCAACTTAAAAGGGAGACCGCTATATTTTTAAAATCTGTCCAGTGTTGTAGATTCCCCCCATGATGGGAAATGTCTTTTCAGCATCTACCCTGTGATGGCCCCTTAGAGTCTTACATTTCAATAAGATCACTTCTCATTCTTCTAAACTCCTTAAATATTGTCAAGTTCCTTTAAGTAGTTGCATACTTTCAATTTTGCCCCCCAGAACCGCTCAATTTTTTTCTCTTTTCACCTTTCCTACCCACCTAATACAGTATGTTTTTTTTGGAAAATAAGTAAATGAGTTTTACAACCCCCCACCCCCACCTCACCCCACTCAACCAAGTGAAATCTGTGCAGCATTGACATTGCTGACTATTGTCTTACTGCAAACACTGCCTTATTCCACAAAATGCTTGTGTAAGTCAGAATCCAATTTATGGGCTTGTTAAGGCAACTTCTACAGAGTTTTTCATGTTTTCAAAGGACCTCTAATTTACTGCTCACTGAGACACTCTAGAGACCACAAGCGGTACTGCACAGGATTCATTTGGAAACCTCACCTTAATGATGGGATGGACAAATCTGGGTGTGAAGACTGATGGCTGGAATTCTCAACCAATGTATGGTAACCTCTTCCTACCATTCTTACAAGGGCTCTTTTGGTGCAGTGGTAGTTCCCCTACCTCTGGGCCAGGAGACCTGGGTTCAAGTCCACCTGATTCAGTCATATCATGTCTGAACAATTTCTGAAGAAGGGGTCTAGGCCCGAAACGTCAGCTTTCCTGTTCCTCTGATGCTGCTTGGCCTGCTGTGTTCATCCAGCTCTACACCTTGTTATCTCATGTCTGAACATGTTGATTTAAAAAGTACCTATAACTAGATCCTGCTTCAGCAAAGAACCTTTGAAGTTGGGGCAAAATTCTGAAACTCCACAGACTGTATTATATCAATTTGAAAATGACACCAAAATTGGAGGTGTAGTGGACAACAAAGGAGGTTACCTCAGAGTACAACAGGACCTTGATCAGATGGGCCAATGGGCCGAAGAGTGGCAGATGGTGTTTAACTTAGATAAATGTGAGGTACTGCATTTTGGAAAAGCAAATCAAGGCAGGACTTATACACTTAATAGTAAGGTCCTGGGGAGTGTTGCTGAACAAAGAGACCTTAGAGTGCAGTTTCATAGTTCCTTGAAAGTGGAGTACCAGGTAGACAGGATAATGAAGAAGGCATTTGGTATGCTTGCCTTTATTGGTCAGCACATTGAGCATAGGAGTTAGGAGGTCATGTTGCGGCTATACAAGACATTAGTTAGGCCACTTTTGGAATACTGCGTTCAATTTCTGGTCTCCCTGCTATAGGAAAGATGTGAAACTTGAAAGGGTTCGGAAAAACTTTACAAGGATGTTGCCAGGGTTGGAGCGTTTGAGCTATAGGGAAAGGCTGAATAGGCTGGACTACTTTCCCTGCAGTGTCGGAGGCTGAGGGGTGACCTTATAGAATTTTGTAAAATCATGGGGCATAGGTAGGGTGAATAGCCAAGGTCTTTTCCCTGGAGTGGGGGAGCCCAAAGCAGGAGGGTATAGGTTTAAGGTGGGTGAGGAAAGATCTAAAAGGGACCTAAGGGGCAACTTTTTCACACAGAGGGTGGTCCGTGTATGAAATGAGCTGCCAGAGGAAGTGGTGGAGGCTGGTACAATTACAACATTTAAAAGGCATCTAGATGGGTATATGAATAGGAAGGGTTTCGAGGGATAGGAGCCAAATGCTGGCAAATGTAACTAGTTTTATATAGGATATCTGGTCGACATGGACGAGTTCGACCGAACAGTCTATTTCCATGATGTACAGCTCTATGACTCTCCTGGTATTTTCTGATCAACATGTTCAGAGATGTTATTATTCACCTCTGGAGCAGGTGGGACTTGTGCTTGGCCTAAGTTTCTCAAGCTAACATACGGGATGTGTCAAGAATTCCTGATATTCTATGGAAAAGTAGGGAGGTGGTCATGCAGTGGTGATAGCATTGTGGCAGTAATTCAAAGGCACAGACCTAATGTTCAAGGGTCAGGGGTTTGAACCCCGAGAATTAAGCAGATCAGCCACGACCTTGCTAAAGATCTTGATGGAGCAGGCCACTCGAGCCTGTATTAGAATTTAAGAGCTTGGAAATAGAGCAGCTGATTAATGGTCCATTTGAGACCCCCACCCTTTGATAAAACCTAAGTGTCTTTTCTTTCTAATCCCCTCGTATCATAGAGCTATAGATTCATTACGGCACAGGAAGAGGTCATTTCAGCCCCCCAACCCATGCTGTCTTCCTCTGTTCAGTGATCCAGTCAGTCCTAATCTCTTACTTGATCATCAGGGCCCCTGCACATTTATTTCCCTCAAGTGCCCATCCAATTTTTTTTGAAATCATTGATCACTTCCCCTTCCACCCATTCATATGGCCATTCAGTTCCAGACTACGAACACACAAACTGTTCTCCCTTATAGCCCCCATGTATCTCCTGTCCAGAACCTTAAATCTGTGTCCCCCCGATCTCATTACTATCAGTTCGTTTTTTTTTCTTTTTCTACCTGATCTAAATCTATATTAATCATGTATATCTTGATCAAATCTCCCCTTAATTACATCTGTGTCAAGCATTTGCCAAGTGTTCAAGTTTGTGAACAACTGCAGGTTCTCCAACCTGACCTTGTAACTAAAATCCCTGTTCCTGGAATCTTTCTGGTTGATGCAACGTAACCAGGGATTATCAAGGTTCAGCATACCCTCCCTACTTTTATAGGAAAGGATGGAAAGAAATAAATTTTAAAAATAAGAAGAAACATTAAATAACCTAATAAAACTCAATAAATGAAAAGTCTGGTCCAGAGAGATTGTTTCTGCCCATTTTGACAAAGTCCAGAGAAATGATATCAGAGCATTATCACTTATAAATGATTTATATAATAATGTTTAATTGCAGAGTACTGGTGTATAGTGAGCATTATAGCTATGTTTTAGAAAGGATATTGAACTTATGCAGGCAACATCAGGCCCTTAGCTTGATGCCTTTTCAAACATCAATGAAAAGACATTAAGACATGTTTTTAAAACATGTTTTCCTGGAAATCATATGACTTATGGTCATTGCTGGTATTGGTTGCTTGAACTCACTTCAGAAAAAAAAAACTTTTGCAATTGGGTTTTATGGCTATCCACTGTGTTTGTAGACTTGGAGTTTCTGTTTTGGCGGTAAACCTGCTAAGAAAAAGCTGCTCAGCTTTGGTCCTTTGTTTGTGAAGTATCTTTGTGAAGAATCCAGTATGTAACATGATCGTTCATCTGGGAGAGAATGATTGAAAGAACTTCTCAATATCATATTTCTGAAGCAAGCTGTGTCTGCCAACCTTGTGTGATTAGTGCCTTGACAGCATGTGTAAGACCATCAGATCAAGTGACTTCAAAAGTATTCTGTACTCTATCATATTGATTTAAAGGCTAACCACCCTTGAGCAGAATGTGTTTTTCCTTTCATAGTCATACATCACAGAATCAGACCCTTTGGTCCAACCAGTCCACGCCAACCATTATCCCAAACTAAACTAGTCCCACCTGCCTATGCTTGGCCCATATCCCTCCACAAAGTTCTCACTCAAGTACTTATCCCAATTTACTTCAAATGGTGTAACTGTACCCGCATCCGTTACAGCCTCGGAATTTCATACACGAACGACTCTCTGTGTAAAAAGTTGCCCCCACATCTTTTTTATATCTCTCTCCTCTCACCTTAAAAATATGTCCCCTTGTCTTGAAATCCCCAACCCTAGGGAAAAGACACTTGCCATTCATCTTACCTATACATATCATGATTTTATAAACCTCTACAAGGTCACCCCTCAACCTCCTAAGCTCCGGTGAAAAAAGTCCCAGCCAACCCTCTATTCCCAGCAACATCCTGGTAAATCTCTTCTGAGCCATCTCTAGCTTAATAATATTCTTCCTATAACAAGGCGACCAGAACTGAACACAGTACCCCAGAACAGGCCTCACCAACATCCTGTACAACCTCAACATGACATCCCAACTCCTACACTCAAAGGTCTGAGCAATGAAGGTAAGTGTGCTAAACACCTTCTTAACCACTCTGTCTACATGTGATGCAAATTTCAAAGAATTATGTACTTGAATCCCCAGGTCTCTCTGTTCTACAACACTACCCAAGGCCCAACTTTTAACTGTGTATGTCCTGCCCTTGTTTGTTTTACCAAAATGCAGTACCTCACATTTATCAAAATTGAACTCCACCTGCCATTCCTCAGCCCATTCACCCAACTGATCAAGATCTCTTTGTAATCTTAGATAACCTTCTTCAATGTCCACTATACCACCAATTTTAGTGTCATCCGCAAATTTACTAACCTTGCTTTCTATATTCTCATCTGAATCATTTATATAAATGACCCAACACTGATTCCTGAGTAACACTGCTGGTAACAGGCCACCAGTCCGAAAAACAGAGTGAATCTCTATAGAAAGAAAGCTGATTCTCCCTCTTGAAGTGTGTTTGTGTCCATGTGCGCGAGTGTATCCCCTGGGTTATTTAAAAGGGTTAAATTTATATTTACATATTACTCACAGTGTATATTAACTAATTCTGCATTTTCATGAAATAGGTTTTGTTTTATAATAAACTGATCATTTTGAGTTCATTAAAGAAATGTGGTTGATGGCTTCTTCCTTGGAAATCTAATATAGAGAAAGCATATTAATTGGCCATATGAGGATTTGGGCAAAACATTTTTAAATTAAGAGATGAAGCCAGTACAGATGAGTGTAGGTAGGGAGTTGGGATGGGAGTTGGTCAGTGAGGAG